GATATTGTTTTCTTCTTAAAAAAAATCAAATCCTATGCTAAATAAAAGGTTTACTGTGCAATATTTACAGTAAATTGCAATTCTTAGAAAAAAAATATACAAAAATAGAAATATAAATGCTTTAAAAGCACAAACATTCTTTATGAATCAATATGTTTATGCCCATAATAAAACAAATTTATCGTGTATAGGTCAAGAATTTTTTCATCCTTTTAAACTTCAATTAATTTGTTTGTTTGTTCAGGAGACAGCATTTATAGAAGCTTTAACCGTTGCGCAAAATACCGCCATCTGACGGTCCTACAACAATTGATAACCAACGGTTCATGAACTGATGATCGCCATTGCAAGGTTTACAAGAAGATTACGAGTCTAATATGATATCTTGATATTACGCCGTTGAAATTTCAGTTTCAGAAATAGCTCGAAAAGTCTTAAATGACAGACATGATTTCAACAGGTGCAACCTAAAGCAATAATTATGGAGAAGCCGGGCGTTAACCAACTAAAAAAAACAACCAAGCAAACAAATCAGAGAGGGGTAGAAATGTATGTCATTATCTTATCATGCTTTCGGTTTTCTCTTTTGTTTGTCCATTTTCATTGAAGTATCTCTAAAAATAATCCAACTTCAACAGTGAAACAAGACGACGTATGAAATTCTAAACAATACAACAATTTTCGATATTACTATTTTTTTTATTTACTTAGTACCTAAATGAACATTATTCTTTGAAAATATACATTTAATTACATATTTGTTTAGGGGCCAGCCGAAGGACGCCTCCGGGTGCGGGAGTTTCTCGCTGCATTGAAGACCCATTGGTGGCCTTCGGCTGTTGTCTGATCTATGGTCGGGTTGTTGTCTCTTTGACACATTCCCCATTTCCATTCTCAATTTTACATCATAGACACCAGGATTAAAATTTTGTACGCCAGACGGGTGTTTCGTCTACAAAATACTCATCAGTGACGCTCGAATCAAAACGTTCAAAAGGCCAAATAAAGTACGAAGTTGAAGAGCATTAAGTTTAGGGTAAACAGTTTTCCTATTTCTTCTTTTATTCGTTAGCAGACCCTGCTAACAGGTACACAATGGAAAGTTCATACATTTCTTCTTTTATTCCTTAGCAGACCCTGCTAACAGGTACACAATGGAAAGTTCATACATTTCTTCTTGAACTGTGAAGTTGTAAGATAAATTCAGATCTTCATAATATGTGGTTCCTGCGTTCCATAAAAACCACCCTACCAATATTCACTTTATCGCGAACTGTCCTTACTGTCTCATTCCCTGGATTTAGCAACTAACGTAAAGATTAACTTCATTAATAAAAAAAGAGATGAAATAGTGTCTGAAACAAAATTAACGTTTATTCTATAATTTTTTCCATGTATTTCTCTCTTGAAAACTGTCTTTAATAACGTGTTTTCATATTCTCATTTTTATTGTCAGAAATAAAATGATTTATCATTTGTTATTTTAAGAGAGATTAGTCTCATTAAATTTGCCCCACAAAATTGACCTGAAACAAATCCGGATTTAAGTTCAGACCTGATTAAAACGTTCAATTAAAAAAGTATATTAATTTAAAGCTTGTAATATTAACCTATATTATACCATATATCATTAGGGCATCGAAGGCGAGGCTTCTTGGTTGTTAGTGAAACGAGGTAAAAATATTCAAGTTGTATCTGAACCAGTATAAAAATTACTTTTTAAAATATGTATAGTTGATATTTTTAAAAGAAGGCAAAACATTTTGTTTTATAGAAACTTGGTTTGTCAGTGGAAAAAGATAAAAATATCAAATTGTATCTGAACAAAGGTTAAAAATTACTTGATTTGCATATTTAAATGATTATTCAAGGCGGTAAAACATTTTTTCATAGAAATTTCATACCAGAACGCTACCGAGTAGTTATTATGATTTTTTAATTGTCTTTTTCTCTAGGTTTCAAATCATGCGAAATGAGTGATGGAAACTCGGATTCTGATAAATTTGTCGATATCAGAAATAAGCCACCATACATTACAAAAAAAAATTGATTATGTCATGAGCGTATCTGATGAAATATACAAGCGAAACTGAATAACAATATTTAAAAAATAGGAAAACTATGTAGGGAAAGACAATTTTACTCTGAAGGGGGAGGTGTATGTTTTTTGCTAAAAAAAATATCTGATTCCAAATTAAACTTAATTTATAGAAAAATATTTTGATTAGGGAAAAGGCAAAAAAAATCTGATTGATAATCCATTACATTTATGGTTGAGTTCTCGAAAAAAAAAAATTGCGCTTCGTGACAAAAGGGTGAACAACTTGATGTTTACTTGGTACGAAAAAAAATTTCAGAATGAATAAAAAAAAACATAACCCTTCCCCTTTCAAAGTTAAATCGTTCCCTTGTACAAAGTAAAACTAAATCAAATTATCTAAACGTTTATTAATACGTATTTTTTAAAAAAAAATTTAATATAATAATTTCTAGGCGGGTTATGTAAAAAAATATCAAAGAATGTAAATGAGTTGTACTGGTTTTTTTAATGATTTATCCGTGTCTTTTTTTAATATAGCTTTATATATATATATTGTAGACATCAGCTCGTTCAAGTCTACATACACTAAACATGAAATCCGCCATTCTTTTCCTGACAATCTTAATTTACTGTCAAGGTAAGATTAAATTGAGTATTTGTTCCCCTGAAAAGTTACAAGTGAATGCTGCGCTTAGAAATTATTATGTATTTTTTTACGATACTTGGTATTATCTGGATTTAAACTTTTTAGGACGAAAATTGAAAGATTGTTTTCTGATTTTCTTGAATTTTTTTTACTGCAGACATGTTTTAGAAGACTCGAAATGTCTAGTAGTTTTCTGGTATCTAGAGAAAAAGATTTATTTGTAGATTCGATATTTTGACTAAAGGAAATAATTTTTGTGTACATATATATCATGAAATAACATTAACGGTACCAATTTTACTGACATAACTGGCTAAATGGGCGATACTTAAAAAACACGATAAGGAGGCCATACTAAGTACGGAAAATGAATTATAGGATTAGCGTTTTTAGAACAAAGAGATTGTTGGACAAGTATGATTTTACCTACAGAATTCAAGAAAAGTATCTTAATCTGGGACACCTTTTATGGTAATAGAAAGACTTATAAGAAAGTGTCCTTTAAATTGTATAAGGTGTAACTTTCATTGTGTCTGATGTTTATATATATGTCTGAAATACTACTTTTTAACTATTCTATTTGGTCCCTTTGTTCATATATCTCCTCAAGGTTCAATAATTTATACATCCTTGACGTTTAACATTTTGGTTTGATCATTCATTATTAATGTCAATCATATAAAGATACAAATTTACTCTGTTCAATGGACAAGACCTTGTCTGTCTGTACCTTTTCATAACGTTGTTGAAAGAAATCTTCTCCGAAGTACAATGGCCGATATTACATCGAATGGCGGCATGCTTTCATATGAACTTGCTTTTAGAAACTGCGATATTTATAGGGTATGGATTTTTCAATTATTTATTTGTTTGTTTTTGTTATCTATTATACCAGTAATGAAGCGTTGCGCGCATTTCTGTTCTGGTTTTCGTTGTACATTCTGTTGTGTACTGTTGGTTTTTCCTCTAATCGAGATTAAAAAGGGAGAAAGTTTTTATCCAAACCAAAACTACTTTCACCCCGCTACATGTTCCTTTACCTTCCTCAAGCCAGGCACATCACTAGTTTTTTTATTTTCTTATATCTTAAGGATTTTGTCTTTTTACATCGCGATGACCTTGAGGTCATTCCGATGTATTGCTATCGCCTAGATTTCCATTATGTAAATTAGTTTTGGGTTTGTAACCGATCTATAAACATGATAAATATGCGCACATAAACGAGTGCAAAATAACATTCCTTGTCATTTGATATAAATACATCTCTTCAATGAATACTGATAAAAATATTTTTGTTTACAACACAAATTAATAATGTGAAAATGTTTTGTAGTTAGATATATATATATATAAGTAAAAAATCATTGATAATATCAATTTACACATACCGAAAAATTGTGTTAAAGCATGCGGAAGAATATCTCAAAGAACGTTTTGCGACAGGACCGGTAACTCTGTAATTGTTTTTGCGGGAAAATATGAATGCCTACTCGTATCCAATCTTAGAAAAATCGAATTTTTACAGAAAAGTGTCCACCATGCACTTGCACTGCACTATTATTAGAACAGTAGAATAGAATGATATACAAACGGATGCAAATCATATATATATGAAACTGTTATTTTAATATAATATATAACAACAAATCAGTGTATACTGATTTGTATCACTACAATATAATAGTTATTACGGGTTGAATTTCCTGTCATTTATTCATCATACTCGCACGCACTTGTCTAGAAAAAAATATATCTCTGTACATTAACCTCAGTTTCAGGTAAAGAGATATGTTGTTTTTTTTCTGAGACAAGTGCTTTTGACCATCCTCAAGAACTTGTGGTCATCCGATGTTCAGTACTTCAGTACTTTGATTATAATCTGGTGGTGATCGAAAATCTTTGATAGTCTCAGTTAACTTTATATTACTTTATTACCTTTTTAGACAGAGGGCGGTTGAAGGCGTGATATATTGTATAGACACATGTCTATATTTGAAGACTGTATGTTGACCTTAAGATGTCATATGATTTTTTATTTGTCGTTGGGTTACTAAACATTTCACATTCATTCATACTCGAAATACGCATTTCACAATGTCAATTTGTTATTGTTTGAAACTAGTATTTACTCTCAGATTTCTTCTTCATCACATTTTATATAAAAACGCATATACATTTTCCTATAGAGGAGTTTTCCGAAATATAACTGATAGTTGTTTTATACTCCATCTTTCTGCATTGATACCTGGAAAATTTCAGCTATTTCTTGTTTTTTTTTAAATTTTAGGTGCCCCTGACAACAGAGGCACAGAATTCATCATAGCATATATGGACAACTATCTAGAAAACTTCCCACTTGAACTCTTCGTTACGACTTCTCGTACTACAATTGTAGATGTACATGTAACATCACCTGGTTGGACAAATCCCTCGGTGAATGAGCAATTTTCAGTCATAGCTGGATCTGTAAAACAGTTATTTATAGACCTTAAGTTGCGTCTGAATGGATCGGTCAAGGAAAAGAAGGGTATTTTGGTGACAGCGACGGACGAAATTGTTATTTACGGTGTCAACAAACAAGACTATTCCAACGACGCATTTCTGGGCTTACCAACAGATGTTCTTGCTATGGAATATTACACTGTGACATATTATCCTCCATACAGAAGAGCTCAGATTTGTGTAGTTGGAGTAGAAGATTCCACAACTGTCTCCATTAAATTGTCATCTTGTTCTAATTGCGGATCGGTCACCTACAACGGCGCTACTTACAACAAGGGAAATACTCTCACGCTAAGTATGGACAGATATGACGCCATACAATTACAAAGCACTGGCGATCTCACTGGGGCACACATCACAGCCAATAAGAAAATTTCTGTATTCAGCGGAAACAGGAAGACAAAAACTGGTTCCGGCGGAAGCCAAGATCATTTGGTGGAGCATTTAACACCAGTTGACACTTGGGGAAAGAGATTTGCAACAGTTCCTACACCAATGAGAACTGTTGGTGACTACTTCAAAATCATTGCAAGTGAAGATAGCACTAGCGTTACTTATAAATGCAACAAAAATAATGCCATTACAACAGGAAGTGTTTCTCTTAGTAACGCTGGAGATTTCCAGCAGCTACTCATAGGTTCAGGAAAATATTGTTACTTCGTTGCTGACAAATCCATACTCTTGGTACAGACTGTTCTGAGTCAACAGAGCAGCAATGAACCATCAGACCCTGCTATGCTCATCATACCACCAGTCGAGCAGTATGCAGCAGACTATACCTTTACAACACCAAAATATTCAAAAGGTTCCTATGACAACTACTTCATGTTCGTCGTAGATTCTTCACAGAAATCCGGACTGAGGTTAGATGGTTCTGCTTTCCCAAGCAACACAGTTTATCATAATATACCTGATACAAATTTAGTGGGAGCTTACATATCTGTAACAGAAGGATCCCACACCGTTCGTCACACTTCAGTGATTTCTGTATTTGGAGGGTTTCTGTATGGCAGAGCTAATGCAGAAACATACGGTTTTACAACCGGAATGCGCATGGCTGGTATAAACACTGTAAGTGCTTACCAAAATGTATATAAATAGCAAGATATTATTTTGATAATGAAAATATATATAGTTTATAGTGTAATTTATATATGATTAGATATATCTAAAACAGATTGTTTATAGTTATATTGGGCGAAATTTAACAAAAACCTTCCTCTTATTACCCCCATTGCAACAAATATCAAAAGTTCTAAAGGCTACATGGTAGTCCGTCTGTTTTTGCTTCCATACTTCCTATGCACATGAGGGGAATGACACGCTCTTGGGATGTGGTGTATAGGGGTAAAAATAGTCGGGATGTGTGATATAGGGGATAACAAAGTGGGATCTGAAAAAAAAGTATGGAAACAAATTTAAAAGGCGGGAATTGGGAAATGAGTACACCCGTGTCACTCTAATCATATAAAAACAGGCAAAGCAAAAAACGTTTTGACCATCTAATAATAGGTATATTAAAAATGTTTTAATCATTCAAAAACTGGTATAGCAAAAATTGTTTAATCTTCTAAAAAGTGGGTTAGCAAAAATGTTTTAGTAATCTAAAAACTGGTATACTAAAATGGGTATAGCATAAAATGTTTTAATCATCTAAAAACTACTTGTCACCATTAATTTATCTTTGAATAACTATTTATATACTTTTCGTGCTTCTACATAATAGGTTTGCGTACCAAGTACAACTGTTATTGGAGATTGGTATAGCATAAACTGTTTTAAACATCTAAAAAATGCTTTTCATCAGCAATGCATATTTACTTCTCTAGCTTTGAATATATATTTATATACGTTTCTTGCTTCTACATATAATAGGTTTGTGTACCAAGTACAACTGTTGTTGGAGATGGTATTGATAACGACTGCGATGGATTGATTGACGAAGAACTTTGTACTACGGCCAATCAGAACAATGGTCTGTGTTATTAGTTTATTGTTTGGGAGGGTAGACGGTTGATGTTGTACTTTTTATACTCTCACCATTGTTTTTGTAACAGCAAAATGATATAAAAAAGAAGATGTGGTATGATTGCCAATGAGACAACTCTCCACAAGAGACCAAATGACACAGAAATTAACAACTATAGGTCACCGTACGGCCTTTAACAATGAGCAAAGCCCATACCGCACAGTCAGCTATAAAAGGCCCCGAAATGACAATGTAAAACAATTCAAACGAGAAAACTAACGGCCTCATTTATGTACAAAAAATGAACGAAAAACAAATATGTAACACATAAACAAACGACAACCACTGAATTACAGGCTCCTGACTTGGGACAGGCACATACATACAGAATGTGGCGGCGTTAAACATGTAAGCGAGATCCAAACCCTCCCCCTAACCTGGGACAGTGGTGTAACAGTACAACATAAGAGTTTGTTTTGTATCTTTTGTTGATAATGGTATACAGTGGAAAACTCAAAATTGTAATTTTATGAAGCAACGTTCAAATAAAAAAAAACTCTTTTAAATGCCGTGTGCTTAGCGGAGAAGCATATCAGCTAGTTTGAAAAGGCAGGGGGATCGAACCAATGTTGATCATGTTTGTCTTGGTGTTAAAAACTTTATAAGGACTGGCATATATTCCTTGCATCACTCTTTGCGTCTGGAGGATAGTTGTTACCTTGAAATCTTTATTAGGCATATGTTCATTTGTATTGGCTCTCTGCGTCTGGAGGATAGTTGATTACTTATTTGTATTGGGAATCAAAACCGCATCTTACCTCAATATTATGTGATATTTTTCAACAGATGATGACGGCGACGGTGTGTCAGATGAAGATTGTGCAACACCAGCACCTAGTAAGTAATTTTGCTTTTTAACTAATTCGTAAACTTATTGACAACGTGATCGCTAAAAAGACAACTCGAAAAAACAAAAAGGGGAGGTAAGATAAGAGTCGTTATTTGACCCGTGACATTGAAAAAAAGTGAAATACTTCAATCATTGAAAAATTTTACTTTTTTTTAGTGATTAATGAATATGATATATATTCTGATCATTTATGACCGTCAAAACATGGTCGTGTTGACTCAGTTGACCAACAAATCATATAGATTGGTCAATTTGATATGAGAAACAGTCTTAATCAAAGAGATATTTCCCTGACATCGTAAGACTTTTAAATTTGTCGCAAAAACTGCTTCTGGGTTAGGCTGTTGCTCAAATCTTCATATGAATTGAAGATCTAAAAATGAAGGTATTTTGGCAGTTTTTTGCCTTGCAAGAAGCTTGAAGGCCTATGTAAGGCAAACTTCAAATATATTACTAATATTCAACAGACTCATGTCTAACTTTGTGGTATTCAAATTCAAGGGACCAAAAAATTGCCTTATCAGACTTTCTTCTTTACTTGTGGGTTTTCTGAACATTCGGAAAATTAAACATGGTAAGCAAATTTAGGTAAATTAATGAATACATATATGTTTTTCTGTATTTTAAAGTAATGTTCAATATCTGTATTTCCTAATGTTGGCAATCGGGTACGAATGTATTTCATGTTTATTTGAAAAGTGCACAAACCAAAAGATATGAAAAACATGGCTATTTCGTATCGAAGCAAATTCAACAGTTGATGATTTTACATGTGTATTAACTAACTCGAATGATTCAGCGCCCTCTATCAGTCAGTGTCCTCTCAAGGTCGATAGTGAGTCGGAATATTACGACTGGATTAGTCGGGTTATGTATTAACGAAAAGTAAATAGTGCAGTTAACTGTTAGGTTAAGGTAGTAATGCATTTTGAACTTATGCTCTAGTTGACGGAGAGTGGGCAGCATGGAATAGCTTAGGAAGTTGTTCTATTACTTGCAAAGATTATGGAACCAGTCAGACTGGTACCGCGACTAGAACAAGAACATGTACAAATCCAGCACCTCAATATGATGGATTGCAGTGTGTCGGCAGTAGTTCAGAAAGTCAGTCTTGTACACCAACAACCTACTGCCCAAGTAAGCTTAAGCCTAACATTTTAGTTGAATTAATATTTTTGTGACAAGAAATAAGGAATACGTGGTGTTGATATTTATAACAATGGCATGAAGATTGATAGACCTCCTTTGTAAATTGTAGCCAAACAAGTCAAGTATCACTGTTGAACTCCTGATAAATTGGGAAAATAACCACTGTTTTCACAGACATGTTTTACAGTCAAATAAATAAAAAACTGAGTCGCTTACACATTTTCGTAACAGAAATACAATATCAAAAGAATAAACAAACTACTGATAATAAAATCATCATAGATACCAGGATTGAAATTGTGTACGCCAGACGCGTGTTTTGTCTACAAAAGACTAATCAGCGACGCTCTAATAAAAAAATTAAAAAGGCCAAATAATGTATGAAATTGAAGAGAATTTAAGGAGCCAAAATTGCTAAAAGTTTTGCCAAATACAGCTACGGTAATTAATATATCCGTGAGGTAGAAAATCCTTAGTTTTTCGAAAAATTCAAAGTTTTGTAAACAGTTAATTTATAATTATGACCATATCAATGATAATACTTAATTTTATGATAGTAAATGGTGGATTTAGTAGCTGGTCTGCCTGGGGACAGTGCTCAGTGACATGTGCAACTGGAACGCAGACAAGAGACAGAACATGTACCAACCCAGCAGCCCAGTATAACGGTCTGACCTGCAGTGGGTCATATTCCGATTCAAAAACGTGTACACTAAGTCCTTGTCCAAGTGAGTTTTGTTTAGTTACAACTTTACAATATACATGTACTGTATGTTTTTTGCTTAAATAAAATGGACATGTGGATATAATGGGATAACAGTGTTAAAGTATTGTAGTGCTTATTCGAAAAAGAATTGAAGTAGTGCTTAAATACATAGTTCTTCTCCACGAAAGAAGATTTTTTTCAAATGATCTATCAATGAATCTTAATTGATGAATGCATCTTTCAGCTTTTGATACTTATACATGTAACACACTAAAACTTTTTTCTCCAAAAAATGTAAGATTAATGGGTATTGCAAATTTTCCGTGGAGTCGTATGCATCTTTTATATAAAGTAAATGTTTAAATTCTATCCTAATCCATAATGATCTAATAAATTAAAAAAAAAAGGACGGATATCAGCATGACCGGTACTTGCATTTGTCATTCATAACTATTGATCTTTTAGACAAGGCAGGAACATATATATTGACGGGACTTGACACTACCTAATTATAGCCGATTTTATCGTCGGAACGGAACTATACGAAAACGGACATGTGTAAAATACGTACTCGCTATTATCTTAATAATTTCTGATAATATCAATAAAATGTCATTTAAACTAAGTAATGAGTGGTGCCAGTGTATCGAAGTTGTAATCTGTCACTTCAAATTTGTCATAGTCGCATTTATTTCATCACAGAAGGGTACATAATGCAAACGGGGTAATAAAAAAAGGCACATATGGCATTCCCACTAACCGCGAATTTCACAAACCATTTTAAAACACTTCACATCAAATAAATCACAATTATATTGGTCATTTTATATGACAAAATATATCTACTTTACCATAAAACTTATCAATTAATTGTATTTGTTGAACGTGTGGAATTGTGTGGTTAATTTATTGAGCAGTTCCGATAGTTTTCAATCAGACGCTTCCAAAATCCATAAATCTCGCGAAGTCTCGTAAAGTTCGAGATTTTATCAATTTTATCATTTCCAGTTAGATATACTGTTCCCAGGACAAGGATACACAAAAAAGTATAAAACATATAAGGATAACTTTTTATATAACTGCTAAATTCTATACTTTTTCAAAACGTATAATAAATGCTTTAAAGCAGGTATTTTGAATAAACAATTAGCCTTTTTTCAACGCGGTCAACTGAATTTTAACAAGAGAAAATTTTGTATCTTATTATCTTAGTCGATGGTGATTGGACAAATTGGTTGTCGTGGGCAACATGTACAGTTACATGTGGCGGGGGGTCAAAGCGAAGGTCAAGGACATGCGCAGCTCCAGCTCCAGCACATGGCGGAAGCGATTGTTCCGGTGATGGTTCAGAAACTCAAGCATGCAATACACAGGATTGCGTTAGTGAGTATTGATTTCTATTTTTTCCAGTATAAATATATCAAATATATAAATTTGAAATAAAGTAAACAGGATTTATATCCTCTCACACCACTGTATGTAACAAAATAAAGTTAGTACCGAAGCACTACTACTGGACGAGTACTTCCATTCGGGACTTGCAACCTACCATGCAGTCGCGATATCGGTCCAGTAGCGACGAATCAAAATTAAACACATCGAAGTGCTAGTGTTCGAATCACCTGTTCTCACCACTTTTGATTTTTAGCTATCCTGGCCTTATGGGTGACTTAAAGCAAAAGCATTTATGAATACTGACTTACTGCCTTAAATTGACATTGTTGTTTTCTTGTCCAAGCTACCAATTTGCAGACGCTATACTACAAGCAAAACACAACATGATGCGTTTTCTATAATACGGCTCCTAACTATAAAACTTTATTTAAATAGTTGACGGAGGATGGGGATCTTGGTCAGCATATGGTTCCTGTTCTGTGACTTGTGGAGGAGGAAAATACTCCCGTTCGAAAGTGTGTAATAATCCAACACCTCAAAATGGCGGACTGGACTGTTCCGGTTCATCGAGTGAATATGGCGATTGTAACACACACGCATGCCCTACGGCAGGAGTTGGACAATATGTTCAGGTATTTTGTACTTCTTTCTTTTCGGAAAAATTCAAATGAACTGAACTCTAATTATTTTGGGTCCGCAATGCTCTTCAAATTCGTACTTTATTTGGCCTTTTTTAACTTTTTATTCGAGCGTCACTGATGAGTCTTTTGTAGACGAAACCGCGTCTGGCGTACACAATTTCAATCCTGGTATCTATGATGAGTTATTTAAGCAACACCTGCATATACTTAATGCGACATTCTTTCTCCAAATAACAAGTTTTCTTTATCTGAACTAACTCTACTAGGTCTCAAGTTAAATCTTAAATGTGATCATTGTGCTTTTTATACCATGACATTATAATTTCGTACGGTAATCTTCCTACCAAATTTTATGAAAAAAATGCTTTACATCAGAAAGGAAGACAAAGTCAAATGTGAACACTTTAAATCCCTATCATAAAGTTTGCCGTATATGCAAAACAATTAGTATTACTGAAAATAATTGTTTATGTTTCATAAAATTCATTAACATTTTGCGGCCACAATTGGGTTCTTAATCACTCTCAAGTTAAACTAATTTAATATGTTGAAGGCCGAAATGTGACCGATTGTTGCTTACATGCCGTCATTTTGTTGCTGGTGGATAGTAATCTTACAAGCAATCATACCACATCTCCTTTCTAAATACATGGCGGAATCATGTGAATGTAAGAAAACTTGGTATAACTGAGGGACGTAGAATATCCAAAATAACCCTTTAGATGAACATTCTCTCAGTTAAATAAAATTGAATTCGAGGTTTTTTAATTTTGTACCACTAAAAAAATATGGTAAAACTTGCAAAAGAACTGCAGGAAAAAAACACGATATGCATGTAGCATATTTTGAAATTTTGCATGATTATTGTATAATCAAAATAGTGAATACTCGTTCATGCATTTGTTCATAATTTTATATTTTAGTGTTGCTGTACCGTTATATTTGAGGGTCATTTTAGATTTTAGATTTGAAATTTTAAATATGATATTTAAAAATGTATATCACGTTTCCACTTCTTTTATTACAGATGTGCCCTTCTGGATATTTCACTTGTGAGTCAGGAAGTACAAAATGCATTGATGGTTCAAAGGCATGTGACTGTGACGAGAGTCCTGCCACTGGTAATTGTGACGACGGGTCCGACGAAACAACCAGTTATGCTGGATGCAGTCCACAAGTACTATTAGCATGCCCAAGCGGTTCCGAACGTATGTGATTTCTTATTCGATCAAAAATATTTGTTTATTTCTAGAATACCCCCCCCCCCCCAAAAAAAAAAAAATAATTTCAGCATCAATACATCAATACATAAGCAATTGCTAATATCTTAAATCCGCATGATTATATAGGTTTTTAGAACTAAACATTACAAAACCTTTTTTTTTAATTGAAATGTCGTACGCTCCTTGGGTAAAGTTTAGATTTAATGTCGCATATTTCAAATTCTTACAAAAAACTCTTACCAAATTAATTGTTTTATATAAAAATCGATCAGGATATTTTTAGTGAGAAAACACTAATTAAGTGGGAACATTCTGGAGCTCAAAGGGGAACAATTAAAAAGTAAATATTGAACTTTGAAATGCAGGAAGTCTTTGTAGCAATACATTTTCTTAGTATCTACAGATGGCTTTTTCAATACTGATAAGTTTTGGTCAGATCATATATTCTGCAGAAGACTGCTGTAATTCTATGAATTACAATAAACGAAAAATTTTCAAGTTAAGTCTTTTATTGGATTTATTTGCATTAAAAAAAGGTTTACTTGAAATTCATGGATTTTTTTTTTTATTTTCAGGTTCAGCAGCAGCAGCAGCATCAGTTATCTTGTTACTATTTTTAGTGGGATATTTAAGAGTTTTTACGTAATGCGAGAAATAAAGATTACATCACTGCAACAAGTGTGTTACGATATTTCTCCACTCGAGACAGTTGAATTTTGATAATAAAGCGCGAGGCTTGCCGAGCTTTTTAAATAATTAAAATTTAACTGTTGAGAGTGGAGAAATATCGTACTAATACACGAGTTATAGTGGTGGAATCTGATTCTCTAATGATTTTTATCCTTCCTTTTCAAAGAATTTTAGAAAAATGTGTTCTTTATATGTGACGTACGTCATCAGGCATGGTCGCCTTTTTTCATAACGTCACAATAGGAAATTTAGAAGAAATCAAGAAAATTTAACGTCATAATTAAATTTCGACCAATCATTTGCCGAGAACATATATTTCACTAGTGATGAGAAATATTTTTCTTACACCGCTCAAGAAACGTGAAAATAGCACAAAAATTAGAAAATTAAGTACAAACAGCAACTTTTGAATTCTTATAAATTACTTAATATATGTACACTTTATTTTTAGTTTAAGTATACATTTACAAACTGTTATTTCTCCAAATGATTTGTACCACGGATGATACTTAAATATCATATTAGTAACTCAAATTTTGGGATATTTGAGAATGCGTCTTTTGTATTTGGGATGAATTCGCCGATTTCCAAATTAATTCTGAATTCCACAGGATTCGACTAGAAGATTACCAAATTGATTGAGAATTACAAAAATTAACATCCCGAAAGAAAATGAAAACTAGCACAAAGTTGATAACAAAGACGTGCAGTGGATGTGAAATCAATTGATTAAATAATCCGAACTCCAATATCAGGTGTGGATGTGCCTTTAAAACAGAGTTTCATGATTTATATACGACATCTGTCATATTTACCGTCCAGAAGTAAGAGGCAGTTATTTGAAATATCTAGTAATGAGTATGTGAAGGGGACACTTTAAAGGAATATTTTTTCAGTCATCATGAGAAAAAAGTATCATCCAAGCCAAAAGAAATTCACACTGTAGTATCAAGACATTTTACCATGTCACACAATCATAGATAATATAATGTGGTTTTGGATAGCTTCTATGTATGTTTTTGATATCTGTTTTTTTTCATTGTCTTGTTATGTTATTATCATTGTTAACCCTACGTTTACTATTATTCAAATATATGCTTTGGTACCTTTTTTTAGATGTATGTATTCTCACTTTCATCTTATAATATATCTTAAAATGATTCGTTTCGTCACATTTATTTCGACAAATGTGATTAGTGACCGAGTTAAACGTAAGAGATTTCTGTACAATGTGTACTTGTCCTTGATATATATTTAATTGATTGGTTCGGTGTGTGATTCTTGGATGACATAAGTAAATTAACGAGTAAAGGAAAGTTACGAGTAGACTTGAACGTAAGGAGATCACTAAACGTAAAAGTCACTGTATCAAGTGACCTAATTGATAATTTTGACAATCCTTAGTCTAAAAGTTTTACAATTAAAATGCTTGTATGTATGTATTTTACGTTTTCGCACACCGTTGTTTACTTTTTAGTATAGCACAATTGAAATACGTATCGTTTTGGTAATGTAATTTACCCAAAGGAGGAACTTTCATTAAATAAATCAAATATGAACAACTGTCATTTCCTAGATTTATACAATACAGTTTTACCATGGAAGCTATACACAAAATTGTACGACAAAAGGGGCGGTATGCGTTAGGGTAGATTTTACATCCCAATTCTAACCATACGTTGCTGCGTATTTATATATGCACCCAAAATGCAAAGAATTATGGTAAATTGTAAAAGAGCTTTATCGAGAAGAGAATGAACAAATATAAATCTTATCAATTGACTTTTTAAATAAAATGAAGATAACATGTGCCATTGTCCATTTATAAATGCATATGAGGCCCTTTATACACGTCCTGTGTACGTTAATTATTGTTCTTTATGTCACATTCCAAAAAACCTCTTTTAGAATTTATGAACTTAAAATTCTTTTCCTTTCGATAATAAATCTCTGAACTTATCAGGACAATACCAATGTTTTTACTCAGTTAAACCGTGTGAAGCAATTGAAACAATATTCAAATGTATCATAAATAGATATAAGAAGATGTGGTATGAGTGCCAATGAGACAACTCTCCATCCAAGTCACAATTTGTAAAAGTAAACCATTATAGGTCAAAGTACGGCCTTCAACACGGAGCCTTGGCTCACACCGAACAGCAAGCTATAAAGGGCCCCAAAAATGACAAGTGTAAAACCATTCAAACAGGAAAACCAACGGTCTAATCTATATAAAAAACGAGAAACGAGAAACACTTATGAACCACATCAACAAATGACAACCACTGAACATCAGGTTCCTGACTTAGGACAGGTGCAAACAAATGCAGCGGGTTTAAACGTTTTAGTAGGCATACAAAATTAATAAAACAAGGGAGTTAGATGTTTAACAATATCAGAAAGACAACCATAACCTTGGACAAAATGCTGCCAAATAAAATAACGTACACAGGTAGATAAAAATAACTTTGTTGTAAGGTATACATGGAGTACGGAAATAATTTTTACAAAATAGATAATTTTGTTGTTCCTAGTGCGAGAACAAAAGTGAAAATTTATCGTCATACTAAACACTTATCAAAGGTGGTATATATTAAAAATAGTGAGACTAGATATAACACTGAATAAGTAAACATTAAATAACAAAAATACATTACAAATTGTATCAAAAGGTCAAATTAACACGAAAGTACGATTTGAGAGTACTCGCAGTTACTGAAAGCTAGTTAAAAGCCCCAAAACAATTCATAATAAAAAATCATGCTTCAGAGACTAAAATCAACTAAAACACATCCCAGGGATTTAGTGTTTTAACGTCATGGACAGTTAAAGAAGACATGACTTGTGCAATGCCAAAATAAAACTATCGACAGGCAGTAGGATAGTTAGGAGTTAACCTGTTAATAAATATGTATATTGTAATATATAGATAGAGTAATCTCTATATAGAAAATGAACGTGGATGTGTATTTATACATCCCAAAAAAAAACGTTTGAAAAGAATACAAATTTAGTTATGTTTTAATCTGCTGATGACAAAATCTATAATTGTGCCAATGTAAACTATATTCAAAGATCTAATTACAACATTGGTAAGATAACCTTTACTAATAAGTTCGTTTAATGGTTCGATGAGTTAACACGGATCACATAGTAATTTCCGCGATTTTAGTACAATATTACCGTAAAATTTAGGATGTGAAATACCGTTTTTAATAAATTTTCTACAGGTACAGCCAAATTTACTAATCAAATCTTTGTATCTATGAAAGAAATTAGTAAAAGTTTTAAGCAATTTATGATAACGAAATCCCTGACTTAATAATTTACCAGTGATGCATTGATTACGTTCGTTAAAATCTATGACATCACTACACACACCAGCATAACGTACGAGTTGGGATATATATACACCGTATGATGGAGCTTAAGAAACATCGCCGTCTGAAAATGGAAAATTAACAATAGGGAATGAAAAGTCGTCTCTTTTGTCGTAAATTTTAGTATGGAGTTTCCCTTTAAAATTGAAATGTCTTAATCTAGAAAAGGACAACTACTGTTGTTTATGTTAGATTTATTAAAGTAAGTTCCTTTGGGTAAATTTCGGTAATATATTTAGAGAACTCTAGATTATTTAACGAAAAAATATCATCAAGATAACGGTAGGTAAATGTCAATTACGAGAAGTATGCAAAAAAGAAGCGAAAGATACCAAAGGGACATTCAAAACTCGTAAGTCGAAGAAAAGCTGACAACGCCATGGAAATAAACGAAAGACAACGAAAAGACAAACAAATCCCCAAAACACTACATAAAAAACTAAAGCCTGAGCAACACGAACCTCTCTTTACAATGCGGAAAATTAAAATGTCTCTGTTTTTCCAACTGTGACTTCCGTGTTCTCTTCGTAACCTTCTTGGTTTTATAATCTTTTGATATTATTTTCATTGTTCTCGTGTTACCATATATGTCTGAACTAGATTTAATACTTACCATTATAGTTCTTGGTTCAGTGATTGTCTTTACTTTAATTGTGCTGTCTGGATTATAATTACCGTTGGGAAGTTTTTAATGAGATTGAAAGGCTTGACTTGCATGTACATTTATATTGATATTTTGTTTCTTTAATCAGTATGTCTACTGGCGAGACGAACTAATGACAAATCTACTTCTAAAAATGTGCATCAAAATAATCGTTGTCTTTTAGTTACATGTTTGCTGTAGGGATTCAAATTGGTAGCATTTAAGGAAAAAGTTGCCAATTTTGCCTCGCTTTGAGATATACCAAATGTTATTTAAACATTATGAGCAACACAGTCAAGATGTCTTTCGCCAAGATGTTGATGCGTAGGCTATTCCTTATATTTTGTTTGACAAAATATTAAAAAAAACCCGATTGCATCGAATAATGGCCATATCCTGTTATTCCTTTTTTTAGTAAAAACAACAAATTTCGAAAGGAGTGAAGAATTGTCTATTTTTATTGATTTAATATAGGTCTTAGTGTAACTTCTCCTTTATAGCCACATGAAAGAGAAAAACAATGTCCTCACTTTCCATTTGTAACTTTTCAAAGCTTAGAATTCGAAAATATATAAATCTTGTTAAAAATACACTTTTCCCTATATATGAAAATTTCTGAATTTATCTATTACCGACTGCAGTTAAAAATTTACATGGGATCAAGCGAAGGTCGAGAATAAAAGAAATAGGTGAAGTTTATTTTTAATAATGCATAAATCAGGTTGTTAGTGTTCTCTTTTAAATTTTTTTACATTAGTTTTCGTTATCTGTGGGCGTATTGAGTATATAGTTTTACTTATGGTTTAAGACCGTAATATAAACTGTAGATTTTCACAACCTTGTCCTTTGGGTTTTGGTGGATAGTTGTGTCCTTGGCAATCACATTGCATTTTCTTATTTTTAATTTTGATATTTGTGTGTAAAAGAAACTGA